GGCTCCTCTGTTTCATCTACACTGGCTTCCAATGCAGCTATAAGCTGGGAGGCCCAAAGTCCAATCTGCTGCATTAGCAAGGGGTGAAGACAGCATTGACTTCTACAGCCCTTTATGTAAAGCAAAGGCTGCGTGAGAATGATACAAGATTTCACCTTGACTGAGAGAACAGCTGCACAGAATGCACATAAGAAACGAAGAAACTTTCTGCTGTCTTAGTCCTATCACGAATGGACACCTGCTGCCATCTAAGTTTCCATACTTGTCAGAGGTCCCCAAGGCATAATGGGAGGGTCAAAGTTTTGTGCCCCCCACTTTTTCTTCTTTAGCATGGAGTGAATGTAGATGTGGGGGGGAATCTCAAAGGTTATGGGAGTGTAACTTTTCAGAGATACCTTGGAGGGGCTAATTCCTGAGAAAGATTATAATTTATGTGGGTATTCAGTTTGAATTTTTCTTAAAAAGGTAAGATCTTAATCAAACATCAGACTTTCCCCTTTGGAGTAATAGCGTGGCTTGGCAGGGAGGCACATTTCTGAGGGTCAGACAGCATGGTGCAGGCCCCTGACACACACTCCGTGGGTCTTTGACAATGCCTGGGACCAGTGCCTTGGGTCATGAAAATGGGGAACCTATTTGTGAAAACATCCTCAGGGAGTCTGTGGCTCCACTAAAGCCAATCCACATGCAGAGTAAAAGATTACCTTTTGTGTATCTAATATAAAAAGAAGACCTTTGCGTATCCAACAGCTTGAAAAACTAGAAGAAAACACCTAGAGAAATGATTGCTTTTTTATGGTATAGGTTCCATTGCCAGCTATGGAGCTAATAATGAGAACGTCCTGGATTAGTTAGAATCTTCTCTTGGTCTATGGATACTGCTGGTAGCTAAGTTTAGTTTTCTTTTAAATCTTAAAAATTCCTTAACAAACTCCAAAACGTATGCTTCAACCTGGAATGGTGTGACTTTGGAATTCAGTAGGGATTCCAAGTACATGTTACGGGACAGAGTTGTGTGGTAAGAACATACAGAGACATCAATCTTTTCAATTGTCTGACTCAGGACAAACGTCACTTTCTCAGGGGGGCCTTCCCTGGCCACCCCCAGGCAAAGTGGCCTTTCCCCCACTGTCTCATTACCCGGTCATATTTTCCCTTAGCACTCATCATTCTCAAATGTTTTCTGTTCTGTCTTCACTCAAATACCTACTGGAGGATTCAATCTTGCCACTCACTGTCCCAACTCCCACCCAGTACTCCCAGCTAAGGAGGCACAATCTTAACGTTCACATCAGATTTGTTGGGTAGAGACCCTTCTTCCATAGGCCTGTGGATAGGGAGCCGGAGAGGTATTTAAAGGGCCCTTCCAGTGAATCCCTGATAAAGTTAAACAGGCTTCTCTCTGAGTGTGGTTATGAGAGAAACAGCTCTGGCAGCTCCCTTCCTTTGTAACTGCCCCCAGGAACAGGCACTGCTGCTGCGTTCTGACTCCCCGGGGCCGAAGTGACGTCTGTACTTGGAGCAACACTGTTGTCTTTTAAAAAGAGTCATGGCGAGGGCACCTGGGTGGCTCAGTTGGTTAAGCCCTGAATTCAACCCAGGTCATGATCCTGCACTTAGTGCGTTCAAGCCCCGCGTCGGGCTCTGTGCTGACAGCTCGGAGCCTGGAGCCTGCTTCAGATTCTGTGTCTCCCTCTCTCTCTGCCCCTCCCCTGCTTGCACTCTGTCTCTGTCTCCCCAAAATAAATAAACATTAAAACATAAATAAAAAAGTAAAAAAGTCGTGGCTTAGCAAACAGCCGAGTGATAGATGGCTAAAGTGGGCCACGTCTTTGTGAAATACCTCCATTTTAATTTTTTGATAGGAGCTCGTTTGCATTTGAGGACTGACCGTGGCTTTATTTTTCAAGTATGGCAGGGTTATGATTACAACTGTAAATTTTGCGAATGAGCGGAGTTATCCTCTTTCATCCTGGTAAGATAGCAGACATGTCGTAGTACATCTATAAAGAATTAAACTGAAGGAAACAAAAACTGTGGACATGATCTGTGAAGTCTTCCAGGGACAGTGCACATCACGGAGGTGAGGAATCACTGTGTTAGCACCTCCATTCCTGCCCCCTCCCTGACACCCGCTCTGATCATAAGGCACAATTCACATCAGCACTTACTAAAGCTGTTTTCATCATATGCAAAGATTAAGTGGATGAGACAAATTCTTAGTGGGTAGGGTGAAGGGAGGCTTGGGCAGGTACCCGGGTGCCTTCAGCACTGCCGTGGACTCCGGCAGCGTGGCCTTCCCACACAAGGGTCAGATGTGGCAGGTCTGGTGCCCCCTGTACAAGTGCTGAAGGAAACAGGAATTTACTGACCGAATGCTACTATGCACTTGAAAGGGTTAATAGCTGAACTGACCCTTGAGGAGGAAAAGGCCTCTTAAACTCCCCAAAGAGTAGAATATAACCAGCACCTTCGGGAGGGGTGTGTGAGTGCGTGTGTGTGTGTGTGTGTGTGTGTGTGTGTGTGCGTGCGTGCAACCCCCAAGTGCTACTCCTATAGAGAATCCTGGATATGGTAACAATCATTTCCTAACATTTTGTTACTTTGCTTTCTAAATGGAATTGTGATTAAGTGCTGAATTTTTCAAAAATCTGTTTGTGAGAGACACAGAAGAATAACAGAAGTTATCTTTCTAAACATGTCAACCTACTTTTCTGCTCAGGCAAGGCTTTACGCCAACATGTACTGGAGACTACGGTGCGGTGCCAACAGATGTCCTCCGCGGTAACCGAAACACCTTATCGAGGGACGGAGATCACCTCCCACCAAAGAGCACACACTTATAGCCAGCGATGGGACACTAATAATGTTGAGAGTCTTTGGTTGCTTTAAAAAAACAAACAAACCTATATTTTATCAGTTTGAAACACTACTGCAGCAGAGACAGAGAGAGAGAGAGAATAGAGAAGGGGGTGGTACCCCAAGAACTCCAGCAAGGACTTTGCTATTTGGTGGAGGAATGATTAGTGTACCTATCACAAACACTGATGTACAGGTCTTGGGACCTGTACACCATATTTTGAAGACTAAAGAGCTAGCTGTGGCCCTTTGCTCAGGGCTCCCTCAAGTATAGGGATGCGGGTACTAAAGGGTCAGTAAAGGAGGCGGCAGTTTGGAAGGAAACTTGGCTTTACCCGCCCGTGTAGCTGATGGTCTTCAAGTCAGAAGTATCTTGGAGGCCCTCAGGGACCTGCTGCAGCCTCTGCAGTATTTCGGACCCCTCTCGTCCACCCAGACTGAGATGCCCCAGAACTCAGGCTGAGACACAATTCTCTAAAAGCTGCCTCAATCTCTCTGCGCCCTTGACCCCTCTTGAGTTTGCACTATGGCTTATTTCTGACAGAATGAGTGTTGTCTCAAGGAACTTCAGTTAAAGCTGCAGGTCCTTGTGTATTAATTTTCATGGCCTTAGTAACAAAATTTTAGGTCAGCCAAATCTTTCACTGCTGGCTCACTCTAAGCAGAGTGGCAGAACTTTAAGAAGGCATCAGAAGGCATCTGTACTTCCCCCATGGATTTAGAAAAGAACTGATTTGGGATGGGCTTGGTGCTGGGCCCAAAGGTGTTAGATGCATAATCCAGAGGCATATCCAAATGAGTTGAGTCGAGTTATTTTCCATTATTATTTGCTCTTCTCAAGGCCTTAGTGTGAAATTAAATCGAGGTTAGGCCATGCTGGCGGAATATTCACTCCCCTGAATATTCAGAGGGGCAGGAACTGTGAACACACCAGTGCAGTATGCCCAGCGGCATCTTTGGCTATGAAATAACAAACTGTATACCGCACTGCTATAAATCCAATCGTTTGGAGTGATCAACATTTGTCGGTGTCCCTGTGAAACGGTGAATTATCGGGTTAATGTGAAATGCAATTTAGCCAGGAATAAACCTGATAAGGTAATTTTGATGAATGACAATGTACAAAAGGTGACATGTACAGGAGAACGCTGCTGTTCATATTCTTGAAACAGACTTTAAAGACAAGTAATGACGTTTGGTTCATGTTCACAAACTGCACATCGAGTGGAATCATACAAGTACTGCAGGGAACTAGAAGCAAGCAATTCGGTCACAGGAATCCGTCTGTTTTGTTTTAAATGAAAAAGCTATATGAAATGCACAGCTTTGATTAAAACTATAGGTACAATTTCCTTCTCTGTAAAACTCCAGATTTAGAATGCTGGCAAAGGCAGTGCTGGCAAAGTATTTAATGCACGTGGAAATGCTATTCTATTTTGGCTTCCAGAAGTAGCCCTAAAAAAATTCTATGCACCAATGCATTGGCTAATAATGATCATTTCAGGTTTACTATAAATTATTCTACATGTCACTTAAGTACTTAAGAATCAGCGCTTGCTCCTTTCTAGAAGCCGTCTAAGGCAGCTGATGCGTAAAGCACATCAACCAGGCTTTCAGCTGGCTCAGCGGTTCAACCTGTGCTGCTCACACCACGAGGACTGCCACCTCCGCCCTGCGCTGTCCCGCTCACCCGCACTGGGATCTTCTCTCGTTCATTTCTGCTTGTAAAAGGCAGCCCAGGCAAGGAAGAGAAACACGACAAACATGATGTCAAGGACTGTTCATTACAGCAATCCTGATTCTAAGGAGGGTTACGTGGGTGTGGGGGAACACAAAGACCCCACCTCGTGGAAGATAAACGAGCTTCATTCATGCTGCCAATTCCTTAGGGACTGTCCCCTCTATCACCTCAGAAAACCGCTTTGTCTGTGGTGTGATCTATTGCTCTGTTGTTTAAAGTTCTCGTTCACGCTATGTTAGCTTTTTTCATCTCAATCCTCTCAGCCTTCACAGAATTTGCTTATTGTGTTTCCCTAGTTTTCACTGAACACACAGTGCAAACAAAGGCAAAGACTGAAGCAATCATTTCAAAAACAAGAGCTCACACTAAAAACACACATGAGCATCAACTAGTAAAACGTGGGTTTTCTCCTGGCTTTATTCTGGGGAGGAGGAATCCTCCTCGTCATCTTCCTCGTCTTCGTCGTTGAAGGAACAGGGGGTCTCGCCTCGGGACTCAGAGCAGTGAGAGGCCGCACTGCTGGACTGGTGACTGTTTGGGGCAAGGAACTGCCCGGTTGCTAAGGCCACTTCAGCATCCAAGCACAACCCTTGGTTTACGCTAGCAAATGATTAAAAACACAGAAGCTCATTAATGTGGCAAATGTTTTAAGCACTGTAAAATGTAGGAATCAAAACATGGGAAAGGAGGTGCCACTGGGGAGTTCTGCCAAAAGCTGCTCGAGACCTGGGACGGCAGTGACACCTGCTCTCCCCCACGGGGAGGGTCAGGGCCGCATGGCTTCTCTTCCTAACCCTGAAAAAATACGTACCTTGATTGGGACAAGGTGGCACCAGTGGTCAGGTCTAAATTTGAAACTGATTGGGTAGAGTTCAAAAGTAGTCCCTGATTTAACCAAGAAGGTCCTGTGGAGATATCTATAGGAAAAAACAAAAACAGAAGATGTAGGCACGCTGAGAGCTCTGTGGCTGCTGCTGTTACAGTCTTAAAGAAGCACAGACAAGTAAGGAGACGAGCCTGATTTAAATCACAGCTAGGTAAGTCTCCTGCCCCGGGGAGAACCCAGGTTTCTTCAGAGCGGAAAAAAAGAAATTTCTAGGACATAAGAACAGGAAGAAAATACAGGAAGGCAGACTACAGTGAGGAAGAATTCAAATTAAACCAATCACAGACACCCATTCTTTTTTCTTAAATAACACCTGGAGAGGGTAGCTCAGAGTACAGTGATTGCTGAACTATTCCCGGACACCTACTGGCCTCACCACCAAAGACTCTGGTGTTAAAAGTCAAGCCAGGAGTGGGTAAAAGAAAGTCAAATCAGAAACAGGTAAAGAAGGACAGACACATACATGTTTGCTAAAACCCCCACTGTACCATCTTTTCACATGTCCCTGAGTGAACTCAGGGCTATTACTCATCAACGATCCATTCTTTATCCTGGTATCCTTGGCTTTATAACTCAAACAAGCCTTATTTTATTTTTTTAACATTTATTTATTTATTTTGAGAGAGAGCGAGAGAGTGTGTGAGCAGGGGAGGGGCAAAGAGAGAGAGAATCCCAAGTAGGCTCCAGGCTCAGTGTGGAGCCTGACACGTGGCTCAGTCTCATCAACCACGAGATGATGACCTGAGATGAAATCAAGAGTCAGACACTCAACTGACTGAGCAACCCAGGTGGCCCAAACCAGCCCTGCGTTAAAAGCCCTTATGTTACGCAGTCACATTTTTAACGGGGGTGAGACAGGCATTACTGTTTTAGTCTGCAGAAAAGTATATCCTTGCAATCTTATTTTCTGTGCATATACCATATTTCTCCAATCACAACCCTGATAAATTCTTATTGTAATTTTATTTAATACTTGTCACATTATCCAGAACATTAGCTCAAAGAAGGCAGTGACTGGAACATGTAAGATCTAAATGTTACTGAAGGCATGACATGAGTATAGTCTCTTCCAACAGTAAGTTTACAAAAGAGGTGGAAGAAATAATAAAAAATGTATTCCTAAAAAGAAATTCTTTGACTTACATGACATTACAAAATAAGACTGAATGTATACTCAGAAAGTATAACCTAGTAATGAACGTTTATTAGGGTTAACTGAAATTGTTTGGTAATTAATTACTGTGCAAAAACAACAACAAAGCAAAACAAAAAAGCCCCACCACTCTATGGACTGGGATTAGGAACCCTGCTATCCTTGTACTGTCTGACCAAGCGAGAGGCTTCCTATGTAGGAAAAAAGGATACTGAATGATTAATTTTAGAATGGCTGTGTGAACCTTTTCTTTAGAGGCTAAGGCAGCTGTGGAAAAAAAAAATTCAATTTTAAGAGGAATAGCAGACTTTAAATATATTAAATAAGAACAAGCCTGTGCAAGATGAAATTAAAGCCAGAATCCTGTGGTGAATATTAATTAGTATATATGGAAACTTTGTGTCAGAAGACAGCTATTTACTTGTTTCCAACTGCATACCACATTAAATTTTTCTTTTTCACAATGGCTTTGAAAAGCCTACATTTCTTTCACATTATCATAAGATCCACACAATAGTTCTCACAATCTTACTCAAGAGCCATTCTGTCCCTTTGCACACTAAAGGCACACATTTCTTCTTTTAAAGTAACCAGAAAGTCTACATCCCAGTCTGCAAATGAGGTCACAAAGAGATCAAAACCACAGAGCCCGCCTAATTGCCCTGTGCCTTTTCACTGAGAATAAGTTAAAATAAAGTTCTGGTGATTTATTGAGTAAACCCTTTCTTCAGACCCTGCTGGACTGCCAGTATGACTGGGCTGCTAATAAAACAGCAGGGCCTACTCTGGGGT